CCTCAGCCTCCCAAAGGCGCGGGATTACAGGCTGAGCCACCGAGCCCGGCTGGGACTGAATTTTAGAACAGATAACCTAAAAGAACTTTATGATTTGTATTTTTTTTTTTTTTATTAGAGTCTCACTCTGTCACCCAGGCTGGAGGACAGTGGCACGCTCACAGTCACCACAGCCTCGACCTGCTGAGCTCAGGTGATCCTTCCGTCTCAGCCTTCTAGGTAGCTGGAACTACAGGCACTCATTACCATGCCTGGCTAAAGTTTTGATTTATTGTAGAGATGAGGTCTCACCAAGTTGCCCAGGCTCGTCTTGAACCCATGGGCTCAGGCAATCCTCTCACCTCGGCCTCCCAAAGTGCTGGGATTATAGGTGTGAGCCACCATGCTCGGCTGATTTGTATAATTTTTTACCAAATGCTACACTTTCAAATATTGTATCCCTAAGATTCCTATCTTTGCATTAGGAGATTCTGTATTTTGTAATGCAAGTTGTTTGATGCTAAGTTTTAACTCTGATTTTTCACATAGATAATACAATCTAACTCTGCTGACCTTGCACTATAATGATAAGTAACTTTGAGATCAAATTTTAGAATCTCTTATATCAGTTAGTGATACATCTTAGACTCAGATAAATATCTAAAGTTAATCAAGTACCTTAATTTGTAGCTTTGCTTCTTGAAGTCGACCTTTCCATGAGGCTACAAATTTAAGGCTATCCATAGAATGACCCATTGCCCTGTAAAAGTAAAGTATCAAATGTCACAAGGCAATAATCTGTAGGAGTTAAAATATAAAGAGTAAAGATAGATATATTCCTATTTATCTAAAACTGGAATATTTACCATGTATAAATAATATCTATTAAATTATGCACAATATCTTAAAATTTAGAGTTTATACTAAGATTTAAAAGTTAATTGTATCAGTCTCCTTTTTGATGTTATAAGCTTCAAAATGGTAGTAGCTTTTTTTTTTTATTTTTTTCATTTTTATATCTTCTCTTTTGACTGTAACCCTAAAATGCAGGCACATGATAGGAGTTCAATAAATGTTTATTAGCTGAACTGAAGTTTTACATTTATAATGTGATTCTGAGGCAATACAAATTGAAATCCTCGGGTTACTAAACAACTCCTTTTTGTTTAGAATATTTTTGGTAGCATCTCTTTCATTATATTCTAACTTGTTAAAAATAAAACCCTATGTATGATATGATAATCTGAGTGTGGTATAAAAAAGAGCTTGATATTAACCATCAAGTCCTGCTCTCTATCAAAGAAACTAGACAGCACTGTTCAACAGAATTTTCTGCAAAATAAACAAATTTCATGGAGTCCAAAATGGTAGCCACTAGCCATAAGGTATTACACACTTTGAATGTGGCTAGTGTGGCTGGAAAACTAAACTGTCAACCTTACTTTACTTTAGTTAGTTAAAATTTAAATAACTCCATGTGACTTCTGTCTTCCATATTGGACAGCATAAGTCTAGATAAATGATTGAAATTATAAAAGTTAAATTGTATCTTTTTCAATTCCAATAAAATACATCATAATTAAAGGCAATGATTTTTTAAGCTAAAAGCTAACTATATAATTCACGTATAGTAAAAAAAATAGCACAACTATCAGTATTTCAATAAATTTCTTGACAATCAAAGGTAGTATAATAGGAATTAAGCACAATATAATTACCCTCAGGGACAAATAAGTAAAGTATTTCATTTTAATTACCTTGCAGTTTCCTGGCGAAGAGCATTAAGAAATGTGTCTGGATGGAAGAGCTCTGACAGATTAAGAGTATCAGAGAGAAGAGTCTGTTTTTCAGCTTTATCTACCCAGTTCTAGAGGAGAAAAATATATAAGTACACATACACTTAAAAGATGAATAAATCAATTAGGTAATTATTATGCATAATTCATTTTTGATGAGAAAGCTATATGGTTTCTAAATGCTTTGAAATAATATCTAGAAGAAAACAAGATTTTCACTTTGTATTGCAAAGTCTGGCATAGTAATTTGGTGCAATATTCACTCATTGCAAATAAGCCTCCTTGCACAACCTTAGTTGGAAAAAATCTGCTCACACAATTAGTTGGAAAAAATCTGCTCACACAAAAAATTCTGAAATGTGAACGCCAGCCTGAGGCGTTAGATGTGGGCCAGCGCTTCTCTCAGAAGTGCCGAGGAGATGCTGACCATCTGGGTCAACCAGAGTCCTCAGGTCTCCAGGTCTTGGCAACGCAAGCTGAGTGCGGGTCCAGCTGCAAGCCTGACGGTGCACGGGCCCCCTTACAGAATCAAATCTTACCATGGAGAGTCGTGTCCAAAAGAAACAATTCTAGGTCAAAAAGTGTGTGTAAATAACACTTTCTACTTATTTGCCATGTCATAAGTCAACCTATACTCCATTTGGGGAAATACACATCAACATAAAGTATGATAAATATTTTTTAAATTGCCATTGGGAAAAATTACAGAAGCAGCATGTGGTCTATGCAACGCTTACGCTACACTTTCCATGTACTAATCAAATGTACGCGCACCATGACCCTGCACGTCAGCATCGATGTCCCCGTTTCACAAAGGGAAACGGAGGCCGGGAGGTTAAAGGTCTTGCTGCCAGGAAACAAGCTCAGGCAGCCTGAAGCGATTTCTCTGGGATACTTCCTGTAGGAACCAATAGGCTTAAGAGACAGGTAGCTTACTGATGATTTCTGAACCAGCCTGTTATTCCAGCTGGTGCACAGAGATGGTACTACAGTATGTCAGCTGCTAAAAACTTACAGAACCATCATATACTAAGTAATTCATTTTGCATAATTCATAAGCCATCTAAGAAAAATTATGTTATTTTAATTTATTACTATTGTAGAAAGGATGTTTTGTGTACTGTAACACCCTATTAGCTACCAGCATTTATTATCTCTTAGCCAGGTCTACAATAGAAGAAATTAAAATCTCCAAAGCTACTGTGTTTACATTACTATTTTAATGCATTTGCTTAGTGCTCATATTCTGTATTAAATATGTTCCCATTTGTCCTTCCTACCATTTTACTTATTAGTAGAGAAAAATTTTAAAAGACCTCCTTAATAAAGTAAAATTATTCCTTTTGGATATTATCCTTTACAATAATAACATTTCATAAAGTCTTCATTTTCGATTAAATAATCTAAAGTTTCACATAGCATATTTACTCCTTAGCAAATAATTTTTAATGTTATCTGTCTGATAATTTATCTTTCATTAGCTAAACACAGTAAAAAAATAATTCTTACATGACTCTTTATTATGTTTATTCCTGTTATTTTATGACTTATTTTAAAATAATCATTTAATAAATAAATATTCCTAATCATACTATTATTTCATTAATTAAAATTAATTTTAAATTCAAATAATCCCAAAAGAGTTGTTGCCAGAATGGATGTGCATACATAGATCAAACTAATTAAAAATTAGAGTATGGCCAATAGATTTTCACTTCACTAAAGTCTGAGTTAATATAACTAGTCAAAGAAGGAAAGCGCTTTCAGTAAAAATATTTTAATTAGTCCACAGGAAGAAATAACTTGTAAATTTACTAAGCTTAAAGGTACACTAATGAAAAGGTATTATTTGATAAGACAGAGTCTAAATAACAATGGTTCTTTTAACGTGTAAAATGTCTTTGAACAGCAAACTTCACAGTGAAGCAACAAGCACATTTTTCTTTTAAAAACCACATTTATTCTCATTTATAAACACAGAAATAAAGAACTGAGTGCATTATCTTTAATAAGCAGAAATATGCACAAATTAATTGGGCTTGAAACAAGTTATGAGCACATTAGTTGGTAAATATTTTTCATTAAATGTTTCTTTACTTCACTCTTGGTTATGGACCATGCTACTTTTATAGGATAAGGTTTAAGACTGAACATAAAGTCTCTAGTCTTTCCAATGAGTATGAGACAATAGACCTACAATTCTTCAAATGATGTATAACGCATGTAATTATGGAGATTAAGCGAATAAGTAGCTGACAGAACTGAATGATTGAGTGGGCTGGGCGATTTCTTGGTTGCCACACACAAACACATACACAAACAAACATAGAATCACAGGCAGTAAAACTTCTAAACTGGAAGGAACCATAGAGATTATCCAGTTAATAGTTCCCATATTGTAAATAAAATGATTTTCTAAGGTGATAAAGTATTGTAATATTTTATTTTTAAAATGCTGGTTACGAAGTTGAATTTATAAATTCAAACTACATTCATTTATTCAGAAGCATTTACTGAATGCACAGAGCTTATCATTTAGTTGGGAAGATAAGACATACACGAGTAACAGTGAAACATTGTAGTAAGTGGAAAACTACATAAGAAATAAATAAGCAGGGCTGGGTGGCTCAGCCTGTAATCCCACGCCTTTGGGAGGCTGAGGTGAGTGAATTGCCTGAGCCCGTGGGTTTGAGACCCGCCTGGGTAACTTGGTGAGACCTTATCTTTACAATAAATAAAAAATTAGCTGGGTGTGGTAGTGCGCGCCTGTAATTCCAGCTACTTGGAAGGCTGAGGCGGAAGGATCGCCAGAGCCTGACAGGTCGAAGCTGCAGTGGCCGGGAGTGGCCACTGCACTCCAGTCTGGGCGATGGAGTGAGACTCCAACTCAAAAAAAATAAATAAATAAAATAAATAAATAAATAGTATCTCACGAGAGCTCCACTATTCTGGACCAATATCTTCAGAATTTTGAAGGAAAAAGGTGTTCCCTCAAGAATATTATCTAGTTAACTTATCAGTCAATTGTAATACAAGCAGGCATCATTTTTACATAGGATAGAGTTCAGAAAATATATACGATACCTCTTATCTTTTCTTATTTTACAATTTATTTATTTACTTTTGAGTCGGAGTCTCACTCAGTTCTAATTTTTTTTAAATTTTTTGTAGAGATAAGGTCTTGCTATGTTGCCCAGGCTGTTCTCAAACTCCCAGGCTCAAGCAATCCTCCCGTCTCGGCCTCCCAAAGTACTGGGATTACAGGCAATAACCATCACACTTGGCTGTATCTTTTTTAAAAATAGCATAGTACCACAAATTTTTAAACTCTGTTAAATCTTAATACTAACATTTTTAAGGACATAGAAGTCAAAGGCTAACACTATTGGCTATAAGCAATGTAACTGGCTTAATACAGAATTAAATCTAAATGATTATTGTAACAAAATTAAATACACATAAAAAACAATTTTTGAAAAACCCAAAGGGCCCAAGGCATAAAATCAGAAAAAATTCAATCAAATGATTGGAGTAAGTTCAGATATATTAATTATACCCCCACAGGGAAAAAAGTTTCCTTTAAAGCGTTTGCATATATTTATGAAATGTGCATCCAGACACAAAGAATAAACTGTGCCTCATTCTCTAATGATAATCAAGAAAAAACAATTAGAATTTAATATATTATAAGGTAGCATTACAGATCACTAAGGAATAAAAAATTATTCACTAAATGGTTCTGGGGGAAATGGTTAATTGCTTAAAAAAATTCTACTCACATTCTAACCTAAAATTATGCTACTTAGGATCAAGAGTAGAATTTTATTCCACAGATTAATGGAGCAAAAAAGAAAATCTTTTAACATGAGGAAAGAAGGGAGGAGATTATATATCTGATTACAGAATGGTGGACTTTCCTAAAAAAGAAAAAAAGGTTAATGATACAAATATCTCTCTCTCTCTCTCTCTCTCACACACACACACACACACACACACACACACACA